CGCCGTGTCCCTCGTCTCCGGCAAGAAAACGGCCGCCAGCCCCGACACCACCGGGGCCGCCCCGTAGATGACGAAGGGCAGGACGGGGAACGCCTCACCCGCCATCTTCACCAGCGGGGCCGTGATGCTGCCCAGGCGGGCCATGGTGTTGCCCAACCCCATCCCCGTCTGCCTGCGGGACACCGGGAGGCCCTGAGGGCCGCCGTGTCCCTCGTCTCCGGCAAGAAAACGGCCGCCAGCCCCGACACCACCGGGGCCGCCCCGTAGATGACGAAGGGCAGGACGGGGAACGCCTCACCCGCCATCTTCACCAGCGGGGCCGTGATGCTGCCCAGGCGGGCCATGGTGTTGCCCAACCCCATCCCCGTCTGCCTGCGGGACACCGGGAGGCCCTGAGGGCCTGACCTACGCGGAGGCGGCTGCCCCGTCCCCTTCCCCACAACCTCCAGCCCAAATCTTTACCGGATAACGGTGGGGTAGAGCTCGCCCGTGTAGAGGAAGACGCAGTTGAAGGAGGCGGCCAAGCAGCCCTTCCCGAAGACGGCCATGGCGGTCCGAAGCGCCCGCAGGTCTGCGGGGACAAGAAGAAGACGTTTGGGACTCAGTTTGGGGGCGCTGGTTGGGTTGAGCATGAGTGGTGTGGAGAGGAGCCCCCCTAAATGCCAAAATTTGGGGCCAAAAGCTAAAAACGACTCGGTTTGTGGATGGTTTTACTGGGTTGAACTGGTTTTGGGGCCTTCCCAAACTGGAGACGAAGGGGACGCTGCCGCCACTCGATGTCCCTCACCTCGTGGCACCAAAATGTTGGCCAAGATGGCCAAGCCGGCCAAGATGAGGGTGAGGGATTGGGTGAAGCGTCGGCCCACGTAGGTGATGGTGAGGACGGAGACCAACTTGGCCGGGAAGTCCACGGCCCCAAAAATGAGCTGGATGACGTAGATGTCGAAGTCGAAGTTCTGCAGGTCCATGGCCAAGCCGTAGTAGGCGAAACTGGTGGAGAACCTGGGCCAAAAAGAGGTGAGGAGGGGACAAATCTCATAGGTGGAAGTCACACGTGGGTTGGGATCCAGCCAGGAGGTCCTGGACCCTTCCTGGAGCAGATCCCTTGGCACTGTGCCTCAGTTTCCCTTTGTTATTGGGTTCTGATGGGTCAGTAACGGAGGGGGGCGGGCGGGGAGCTGGTGGGCTCCGCGTACCACACGAAGCAAAGGCAGCAGGAGATGCGGCGCACGACGGGCGTGCGGACCAGGTCCAGCACGGTGTGACGGCTCTTGGAGGAGGTGGTCTCCTTGTGCATGTAGGACCTCAGGGCCTGGCGGGGAGAGGGTGGAGGTGGAGGAGGTGGATGGAGGTGGTGGATGGAGGTGGAGATGGTGAAGATGATGGATGGGGGTGGAGGTGGATGGAGGTGGATGGAGGGAGGTGGAGGTGGATGGAGGGAGGTGGATGGAGGTGGATGGAGATGGATGGAGGTGGAGATGGTGAAGATGATGGATGGGGGTGGAGGTGGATGGAGGTGGATGGAGGGAGGTGGAGGTGGATGGAGGGAGGTGGATGGAGGTGGATGGAGATGGATGGAGGTGGAGATGGTGAAGATGATGGAGGGAGGTGGTGGTGGATGGAGGTGATGGAGGGAGGTGGAGATCAATGGATGGAGGTGGATCGAGGGTGGAGATGATGGAGGGAGGGGGACGGAGATGATGGATGGAGATGATGGATAGAGATGGAGATGGTGGAGATGATGGATGGAGGTGGATGGAGGGAGGTGGAGATGATGGATGGAGGTGGATGGAGGGAGGTGGAGATGATGGATGGAGGTGGATGGAGGGAGGTGGAGATGATGGATGGAGGTGGATGGAGGGAGGTGGAGATGATGGATGGAGGTGGATGGAGGGAGGTGGAGATGATGGATGGAGGTGGATGGAGGGAGGTGGAGATGATGGATGGAGGTGGATGGAGGGAGGTGGAGATGATGGATGGAGGTGGATGGAGGGAGGTGGAGATGATGGATGGAGGTGGATGGAGGGAGGTGGAGATGATGGATGGAGGTGGATGGAGGGAGGTGGAGATGATGGATGGAGGTGGATGGAGGGAGGTGGAGATGATGGATGGAGGTGGATGGAGGGAGGTGGATGGAGGTGGATGGAGATGGATGGAGGGGGAGATGGTGAAGATGATGGAGGGAGGTGGTGGTGGATGGAGGTGATGGAGGGAGGTGGAGATCAATGGATGGAGGTGGATCGAGGGTGGAGATGATGGAGGGAGGGGGACGGAGATGATGGATGGAGATGATGGATAGAGATGGAGATGGTGGAGATGATGGATGGGGGGGGGTGGGGGGAGGGGGGGGTGGCAGAGGGG